GTTTGGAATCTCTCCAGAGAAGAACACTCCACAACCTCTCTGGGCAGCCTGTCCCAGTGCTCGGTCACCCGCAGAGGGAAGAAGTTTTTCCTCATGCTCAGATGGAACTTGCTGTGTTCCAGTTTGTGCCTGTTGCCCCTTGTCCTGTTGCTGGGCACCACTGAAAAATGTCTGGCGCTATCCTCTTGACACCTGCCCTTTAGATATTGATAAGTATTGATGAAATCCTGTCAGTCTTCTCTTCTCCAGACTAAACAGCCCCAGCTCTCTCAGCCTTTCCTCATATGAGAGATGCTCCAGTCCCCTCATCATCTTTGATTTGGGGGAGGAGATTGAGCAGTATCTTCAAGCGTTAAGTCTTCTGTTTAAAAATGTGGATTGCAGGACCCAAGTGTGTAGGGCAGTGTTGGGGGTAGTACTGCTTCCCTGCTTGTGCTTCTTCCCTGTTCAGATTTTTGAGCCTGAAGCTTGTGCTGGATGCAACCCCGCAATCCTTTTCAGTTACTGCTTTACAGGATGCGCAGTCCCTGGTGCATAGCTGGCCCTGCTCTCCCTGTCTTTAGATGGAGAACGTTGCCTCTGGGTGTACTGAAACGCATTTAATGTGGGTGACCCCAGCTTACCAAGCGATGCAGATCACACTGTGTGACTGTCCCGTCCTTGCTACCTACCTGAGTGTGTCTTAAAATGTAATTGGAAAAGTTTTTATCTACTTCCATGGTGTGAATAAACCAAATAGCGACTGCTGTACACGGGTCTGCACTAGGCCCATCAGCAGAAAATCTGCTGTTTCCCATTGACAGGTATGTTTTGAGACCTGCTCACTGACTCTTTCTTGGTCTAAGCCATCTTACCGTGGCATGCCAGTCTTTTCGTCGGAAGCCTATGCCCTGGTCAAACCTTACAAGTGTATGAGTACGTCTCATCGATGTGATTTATGTAACTGCTTTTTTTAACCAAATGTAACACTTCAAGGAATAAACTCAACTTTATTTGAAAAGACCTATTTTCCTAAAGTCTGATCAGCTGGTACAAAGCATATCAGTGTCACTTATCTTGTACTTGTTGAATCCTGCGCTGGCCTCTGTCTTGCCAGACACCAGGCTATGAAAAGACCTGTTTTTCTCCTGCCTTCCTCAGTTTTGGCACAACTTTCACACTCTCCTAGCCTTTGCAGTTTCTCCTGTATTCCAAGATTTACAAAAAATAATTGCTGTGGGCTGGTGATCTCTTGCACTACTCTCTAGGACTCTTAGGTGCAAATTATCCTGGGCTGCTGATGGAGGTGTTTTATTGGTATATTGGAAAGCAGTTCCTCATTCCCATGTGATAAAGGGGTGTTGTTCTGCTTCCTGCAAGTAATTACTGAATACTTCTGCTTTTTTTTTTTTTTTTTTTTTGTTGTGGTGTTACTCACAGCACTTCCTTGGGGAAGGAAGGGTGCAGGTGGCATTAGGTGGGCACACACTGCTCACGACCTCTTGAGTAATCATTGCTCCTGCTCAGATCGGCTGGAGGGTGAAGGGACTTCGGCACCGCGCTGACGGCTGAAACGCAGCACGTGCCTCCTTTCCGGTGTGGGTCCTGCCCATGCACAGCAGCCCACACGTGTAGCAGCCCTGCTCCCTGCTTTGACAAACAAAGGGCAGAGGGCTGTTCCCCACTGCAGGCAGGGACACTGCTCGCTGCGCAGAGGTGGAGCTGGCAGGTTTGGTATTGCTCAGCACCACTGATGTTCCTGCAGCATTTGTGTTTTCTGCTCAGCCGCAGAGTTGCCAGCTGCCACGTAATTTGGTCATGTTGGAGCTGTGCTTCCTTGTGCAGCTGGGAAGTAACCTGTCTGCAGATTGCGCTTGGCCATAGCTGCCCCGTGACCCCAGGGAGCTCCTTAGCTCAGCTGTCTGCTCCCCTCTTCCCCTCTCTGGCGCTGCTTAGCTCATCACCCCCTCTCGTACTGCAGAGGGAAGCCTGTGTGTTCCTTGGGCTGCTGCTCCGACTGGCAGCCCCTCGGCTCCCCAGCATGTCCCCCAGCCCAGCGCCCCCCGCGAGCGGGGGCACAGAGCTGCAGCAGACAAACTGACCCTGCCTCTCCCTGTATTGTAGGTGGTGGCAGAGGAGGAGGAGGATGTTTCGGGCCCCTGGGAACCAGAGCGCTCTGGGAAAGGGAGCCCGGGGTCGGGACCGGAGGCTGATGGCTCCAGTGGGCAAGGGACGCAGGAGCCAGTCAGCTCCACAGTCTGCAGGGAGCAGGAGGAGGAGGAGGAGGAAGAAGAGGAAGAGGGGAGCTGCTACAGTGAGGAAGGGGAGGATGGCAGCAACATCTACTTCTATTACACCATTGGAGAGCGCTGGATAGACTACCTGCAGCGGACAGAGGACGGTGGCCTCCTCCGTCATGTGCGGCCCAAGGTAACCCTGCTGGGAGCGCGGCCCCAGGCAAGGGCTTTGCCCCAAAGAGTGGGGCTGCTTGTGCATTTGGTGGCTCTCTGCAGGAGCCCATGCTGGCACATTGCCTGTGGTCCTGTCCTGGTAGCTGGTGGCCTCAGAGCTGACAGGCACCTGCTACTCGCAGTGGTAGTGGTACCAGAAGGCCCACGGGCTGCCAGTGTTAGTTGTTCAAGAAGGCCCACGGGCTGCCATAGCACTTGAAGCTCTTTGCATGGGGAGGTGTCCAGCTGTAATTGCTGCTGCAGAGCCTGGGATGTGCTGGGGTGTTGTGGGCCAGCTGGGGAGCTCGGGACTGTCAGCTGGGTGCTGGCTGGGCTGGGAGCTCCACTGTGCAGATCATGCTTGGCAGTGGTCGTTGGCCTGCCTGGCTGTTAGGGCTGGGGGAAGGAGGCACCGTCCCAGCCTGTCTGAATGCTGCTGGCAGTCCCCAGCCATGCCCGTCCCTGGTGGAGCCACCCTGCTCTGCCTGAGGTCCCTGCATCACAGCACGGAGCCTTATCGGGACAGCAGGAGTCTGCTGGGGGGGTGGTGTCAAGCAGAGGCCTCGGGGGGGTTCTGCAGGATGAGGGCGTAGCGGTGAGAAGTCCTGGCCAGCCCTGAGTGCAGGGCTGCAGCTGGTGCCCAGATCAGTTACGAGAGGGAAGGAGCCCCCAGGTTGCAACCCGGGTTGGGGGAACCCCACGCACACCTTCAGGTGGCTGCCAGCACTGTCTGGTAGCCACCCTGCTCTCCCCACGGTTCCTGTTAGCCCTGCGCCACTTGCACAGAACCAGAAGGGTGCAGGTTCCCCCTGATGCGACCATGTCGGGGTGCGGTCTGCCGCACATCCCAGCACAGCTCTCCCTGAAGCTGTGGGATGCAGTGCAGCAGCTGAGCAGCTCCAGGGCCCAGCTGCAGGGCAGGTCTGCCAGGAGGCTTCAGCCTGCTGAGTTCCCTGCTCAGGCTCAGGGCTGCCTGCTCCATGTTGACCTGTGCCTGGAGAAGGGCCAAGCGGATGTACCAGTAGGTTTTCTCAGCCACTGTTTTTGTCCCTGTGTAGCTGTTTTGCTGACTCTTCCCCGTCAGGTCTAATATTCCCCTTGGAAGGACCAAGTTCCATTTTTCCCACAGAAGTTAACTCTTCTGCCAGCTCTAGAGCTGAGGTGACCTTCAGCTTCCCTCTGTGGGTTCCCAACGTGAGCGTGGGCTCAGAAGACTTGCTAGGCTGGGTATCCTACTGTCACTTTTAGCAGAAAGTCTGTGACTCAGAATGCGCGCGGAGGGCTCTGCTCCAGCCTGCTTTAACTTGCCTTCTCCTTGCAGATGAAGCGGAAATCGGAGAACGGCCTGGATGGCAGGGCGCTTTCCCCTGGTAAAAAGCTGTGCAAGGGTTCTGAGTACAGCAGGTAAGATCATAGAATCATAGAATCACAGACCAACCCCCTGCCATGGGCAGGGACACCCTCCACTAGCCCAGGTTGCCCAAAGCCCCATCCAGCCTGGCCTTCAACACTGCCAGGGAGCCAGGGGCAGCCACGGCTTCTCGGGGCAACCTGTGCCAGGGCCTCACCACCCATGTATGAACTGGGTGATGATTGAACATCTGGTGAGAGAGAGGAGAGAAGATGGGGCCAAGCTTTTCGCTTGCAAAGATGAGTGCTCTGCGTGCTGAGCGACGAGTTGACCTGGGGGGTGGGAAGATCTCCTTCCACCAGTCCTGTCCCTCAGTCATCTAGGTGTCCTGCTGAGGTTGTGGAGTCTCCATCCTTGGAGGGGTGCAAAAGCCACCTGGGTGGTCCTGCTTGAGCAGGGGTTGGACCCGATGACCTCCAGAGGTGCCTCCAGCCTCGACCAGTCTGTGACTCCATCATTCTGTAGAGCAGGCTGGCCTAAGAGCACCGCATGTGAAGCTGTGGTCTCAGTGGAAGTCATGGGGAAGGGGGTTAGCTTGGCAGGAGGCTCATACCTTGTGGCTTACAGGGACCTCCGTTGTGAGAACGGTTCGCACAGCATGGCCCAGAGTAGCATTGGCATGTCTCACCTTTGCTTTGGTCTCTCCTCGTCTGTGGCCCAGGACACTGGGACCCTGCATGCCCAGTCCCACCACCACCTTTGGGGACCTGCGCAACGCCAAGGCAGGCCAGGCTCGGCGCCGCCGCATCCCCTCGGTCGCCCCTCCACCAGAGCTACAGGACTGGCTCCGCACCTTCCAGGTGGGCTCAGGAGCCTTGCCAAAGGGCTCGCCCGGGAGGGACCAGGAAGCTTTGGGTTTGACGGGTGGGCGGGAGGGGAGCCAAGCCCTGGGGAGTCTGTCTGCGTGAAACCCACCACAGCAGGGGTCTGGGTCCCACAGGGGATTTTTAGTGAGTTTTTGCCCCAGGTGAAGGAGCAGAGAAGTGGTGTTAGTCCCCTCTTGCTCCCCTTCATCCTGGAGTGGTGTTGCTTTGTCTGCCATCACGCAGCACCTGTGTTCCATCTTATGTGGCTCACGGAGCTCCCAGCCCCCTCTCCGTGGCTTGAGATCCAGGCAGCAGAGCCATGGCCTGCTCCAGTGGCCCGGCTAGCCTGTCGTGCCTGTGCTGGTTGGCATCTGCTAGGGTTGGGGTGGGGGCACAGGCACTGCACAGAGCCACAGGGGAGCCTGTGAGGGCCTGCTGTGTGTGCAGGCATCATGACTGCTGTCCGTCTCCTCAGCGGTGGAGTGGCCCAGAGAAGCTGCTCGCTCTGGATGAGCTCATTGACCGCTGCGAGCCCTCCCAAATCAAGTACATGATGCAGGTCATTGAACCCCAGTTCCAGAGAGACTTCATTTCCCTGCTGCCCAAGGAGGTGAGTTGCGGCAAGGGAGAGGCTGGCCTCGGTGCTGTGCACCAGTTCCCACGGGAGCCCCCTGTGCCCTTGTGACTTGGCTTCCCCTCCTGCAGCTGGCACTCTACGTCCTCTCGTTCCTGGAGCCTCGGGACCTGCTCCGTGCTGCCCAGACCTGTCGCTACTGGAGGGTCTTGGCTGAAGATAACCTGCTTTGGAGAGAGAAATGCCGCGAAGAAGGTGAAGACCCCTCCTCCATACGGCATGTGGCCCGTTGTGGCTGGGATCTGCAGTGGGGTAGCCCACGGCTCCCACAGATATGCATCGTCTTAGCATGGTGCAGGCATGGACCTCCTGTGTACTGTGAGGCATCCTCCTGTGTTTTCCTCCTGTAGGCATTGAGGAGCCCTTGAACCTGCGGAAGCGGCGCCTGCTGAGTCCTGGATTCATGTACAGCCCCTGGAAATTTGCCTTCATGCGGCAGCACAAAATCGACATGAACTGGCGCAGCGGGGAGCTTAAAGCCCCCAAGGTGGGTGCATTCTGGAGTCCTTGCTGAGAACCAGACTCTAGAGCTTTGACATGTAGGAAGCTGGTACAGGAAGGAAGTAGCAGAGAAATATCCATGACCAATAGGATGAGAACAACACTAACAATTTTAAAAGTGCCTCAGGAAAAGATTCACAAATCCGACCTGTCTTCAGGAGGCACAGGCCAGAGGCATTCACCTGGAAATACTTGAATGTAAAGGTCCTTGAAGCTGTAGGTCTTGCCAGCTTCCTGCACCTCCTCTCCTTGTCTGCAGAGAGCAGATCCACAGCACAGCTTACTTGGAGCTTCCCGTGTGCTCTGGCTGGCAGCACAGCTGATCTTGGGGATTGCTGCAGTGGCTGGTACAGGGCTGCAGTTCTGCAGCAGAGAAAGGGTCACCCTGGACCCCAGAGAAGGGGGTTTCCATCCTTTTGCCCCTTCTCTGAGCACCTGTGGCTGGGCTGCAGCCAACCTTGGCACCCGGGGAGTGGTACAGCCCTTCTGGGGCTCAGCCCAGCCTTGTCCCTGGTACGAGGTTCCAGAACACTCAGCTGTTGGGTTTGTCTTTCCCTGCCAAGGTCCCTGCCTGCCCCTCGTCCCTGTCCAGGAGGCTGGGAGAGCAGAG